TGGGAGCTGCGGGCAGGGGCCCGGCGGTACGGGGGAGGAGAGGTGCCTGCTCCCCGGGGCCCGGGAGGGTCTGCGGGCTCTCTGGCCTCGCCTGTCCCCGGGGCTGGGAGCCCGGCACAGGCTTCCACCCATGGCACACACCGTGCTGTGCCTGGAGCGGTGGCGTCGCTGGTGTCTTTCCTTGGGTTGGGGCCAGCTTAGCTCTGTTGGGCCCTCTTGTACAGCAGCTGTGTTTTAAAGAATTTAGTTTCTCTGTTAAATGACCCTAAACGGTCTTCTGTGCTACAAACCTAGTGAAGCGTTCTGGTAGAGGCAGAGCGCTTCAGCTCGGCAGCAATGCCGTGCAAGCGGCTGCATCTGTCCTGCGCGCAGGACCCACACAGGGCTCTTTGTGAAGCCCCAGCCTTGGGGGGTGCTTATGGGGGTCGCTTTGCTTTGCGTCCTCACTCTCCCTTACTGTTGGCATCCTGGCGGGGTAGGTGACGGTGACATAGACCAGCAAGCAGCCCAGAGGATTGGCAGCCCTGAACCCCAGCTCTGCGAACAGTGGCAAATTACTTCAGCCCTTGTTTTTGTTTCAGAATCAACTTATGCTTTGGAAGCAGAAGACTGGGTTTTTTAGTGCTGATCTCCTTAGTGCTCAGTTTGTCTAGTCCTGGTCAGTCAGAGACATTTTGGTAGCCCAAGTGCCTGCGACACCTTCAATGTAGTTGCCTTGGCAGGAGCCTTGCGGGGCAGGACTGTGCTGTGCAGCTCACGCTGAAGAGGGTGAATTGAGGCCTGGAGGGTTCACGTAAAGGGGTCGTGGTTAGAGCAGAGAGTTTAATGAAGGCTCTGGAGGCCTTGGCCGGTCCTGAACAACTCCCTTATCCTCTCCTTTCATACCAGGGGAGAGCAGCAGAAAAGCTCTTGGACTTCTTGTCCCTCAACTCATATAACTTCTCTCTCTACAGATTTTTTTTTTTAAAGTTACGAGAGGTTGAAACAAACTGCTGACAGCCTCCCAGAATGGCAGACCAGAAGCGCCTTGCCTACTCCATCATCCAGTTTCTGCATGACCAGCTGCAGAATGGGGGGCTGTCTCCGGACGCTCAGGAGAGTTTGGAAGGTAGGTGGTTGTATGTGCTTCCCTGTTCACGCGTCTAGGTCTGTCAACCCAACGCTTGGGGAAAATTTGGACGCTGTTACTCTCCTCTGCCTCTTACTTGGCTGGGCTGTTCCTAACATCAAACCTGTCTCAAGATTTGAAATGAACTTGTCTTCTTGGGGAGATATCCAGGGCACTAGGGATGCTGATTGCTTATCTGATTTCTTGGTATCTCTTTTAAAAGCAGATTAGCTTGAGGAGGGGATATAGCTGGGATCAAAACCCTTCCTGACCCTGTGTTTGCTACTTAAAAGTTTTATCTTAAATGAGGTGGAGTCAGGAAGCTCCATATAAATGTATGGAGCTCCGTATAAAATGAGAACTTTGTGGCTGTGTGGAAATGTTCTATACTTGCTGAGTGCTTTTGCTGTTCTGCTATCAAAATGCTTTTCCGCAGCACGCCCTGGAGTATTTATACAGGCTTTTTCAGAGGGCTTCGCTGGTAACGGGAGCACACTGATCTTAAAAGATCCACTTAAGGAGCTTACGCTTTAGTCTTTGGCCTGTACATTTGTCCCGCTGAAAGAGAGCGCAGGCACGTCTGTGGAGTAGTGGGTACATTCCTGGGCGAGGCAGGAGAAGAGGGCAGGAGGAGGGTGTTGGGTGGAAGGACAGGGGTTTCTTCCTGGTACTTTTGGACTGTAAAATATGGCCTGAGAGCTTTGTAAATCTGAGCTCTGTTACGTTGCTGGGGTTCCCCTCTGTGCTGGGAAGAGCTTCAGGTGCCTGATGAGGGAGGAGGTGGGCGCGGGCAGGACCCAGTGTCCGTGCACCTCTGAGTGGCCACAGCATGTCACAGAGCAGCCACCCACTGGCAAGTGACCGCTTTGTGAAACATGGGCCTCTCTCCTTGCTCTTTGCCACCACCCACAGCTGTGGGAAGGCTCGTAAAGCCCCAGTTTGATTAACTTCTACCCCCAGCACCTGCTCTGGGGTCACCTGAGTGGATGGGAGTTGTGACTGACTTCAGCTCCAGAGCTAAGGTTTGCCTAGCTCCGAGGCTTTGGCAAAATTTGAGGATATGGCCCAAATATCAAGTCTGGTATGTGGAATTGTGTGGTTTAGTGTGGGTTTTTTTCTGTTCCTGGTATGTTCAACAGTAAGAAATTCAGGTGCTATGGGAGGAGGCTAAGTATTTAGATGGAATGGGGAAAGCTAATTACCTGACTCTTCCTCTCCAGTGGCCATCCAGTGCCTGGAGACAGCATTTGGGGTCTCAATGGAAGACCAAGGCCTAGCTGTGTCCCAGACTCTTCCCGAAATATTTGAAGCTGCTGCAGGAAAGGTGAGCGAATGCCCTAAAATATGTGCTGAGTTTCAATTTAAGCAGCCAAAGCAATGAGCTCTGCTTGATTTCTGTGGCAATGCTGGCCCCCTCGGAGGTGTGTAGGAGTGAAATGTTTTGGGCTTCACAAGCCAGCGCTTGGGAAGGGGGAGGTGTAGTACATCTCAGTGGGAGTCTTTATCGCAGCGTTCTCCCTTTCTTTGTAAGGAGCCTGAACACATCAGAACAAACTCGGAGCCCATCACCCCCTCTGAAGATGACATAGCTGAAGCTGAAAGACTCAAGACTGAAGGTAACCTCTTCTGGAGCCAGTGTATAATGAGGTCTAGATGGCAATGGGGAGGGAGGCTTAATTCACTCAGCACCTGGGGAATGCTTGGAATGATGGGGGGAAAAAAAGCAAATGGGATCAACCCTTCCGTTTCTGCTTGTTTCTCTGCTTGTGCTCCAGGAACGTGTGTAGGTTGGCATAATTTAGCTGCCACAGAGCCTAGACAGACAGCTGGGTCAGCGTTTTCTTTTGCATCCTAAGAAGCCCGTGCTGTGTGGAACAGGGCGTCTTTCCTTTTGAGCTCTCCTCTGCGTGTTGCCTTTTCTCTGCCATGCAAGAGAGCGTGATTAGTGCTGAAGCACAGTGGAGAGCTTTCTCTGAGCCCACACGCTGCAGTGCTTTTCAGGACGCAGTGCTGCTTTGGGGAGGCCTCAGGTGTACCCGAGGTGGGAGGACAGCTGAGGGTGCTAAGGGGGCTTGCAGGATCAGGCAGCGTGGAATTGCCAAGACACAGGTCCCCTGCTGCACCCGCCCCCACC